AATGTTTCGTCCTGCTGATCATTTACTGGCATTTTTAAGATGGTTTTAAGTCGCTTTTATTTAAAAGACAAAAAAAAAAAAGTGTTAAAAAAAAAATCATTGCAAACAATTATCAGGTCCGACGGAAGATTGTCAGGTTTGTGTTTTTTTTAACAATGTTACATACAATCAAATCCGGCTGAAGATTGTCTCCGTTTCCTTTCCTATGTCTTTGGTTTTATGCTCGGGGTGTCCGTTCTGTTCATATTCTTCCCTGTTATGGGGGAACTTCCTCTTGCTGAGTGTTTTTTACTTTCTCCATATTTATGGTTGTTATTGTTTTATTTACCTTGAAGTAACATTTGCTGTGACTTTCATATCTTTACGTTTGCTCTTCCATATTCTTATAATTGTTTTATTGATTGGATATTTGCTGATAAGACACTAGAGCAAGGGGCAGGCAAGCTCACTACTCCAGCTACTGTGGAACTACAAATCCCATGAGGCTTTGCAGGACTGCCAGCAACGGGCATGACTTCCAGATGCATTGCAGTCTCACTACAGCTGGAGTGCCGAGGTTGCCCACCCCTGCACTAGAGGAAGTTCTTGGTGGCTCAGAGCAGTTACTGTCTCTCTCATAAAGTATATCTAAAACCAAAAAGAGAAATGTAGTATATTGCAGCTTACAGGCCTTGGATGTGGTGGCTGAATACGTTTAGTTTTTTTCTTCAGGCTGAGAACCGCTGCCTTAGAACAATATAATTGAGTGCAGTACAGGCAGGAAGTTATCAGCGGATAAGATTTCTGGCAGGATCAACAGATATTTTTTGCACTTATTGAACAGATCTATACGCTTTCAGTGGTTTAGTTAACAGACCAAAAAGGGAGCAAATAAGAAAGTTAATTCGGGTTTACATACATTTTTTTAATAACTGTTTACTTAAAAAAGCCGATTTACTAAAAGATTGGATTGGTTGCTTCTATCACTGTCAGCAAACACATCACCTGTGTGATAAGACCGAGTACAATCAGAACATTGACATTCATGTCAGATCGAGTGCAGAGGAACATAGATCTGTTACCTGTGTAAGTTCCACAAAGCTGGCTGATGGGTTCCTATAGACCACAGCACTCTGATTCCTGCGCTGCGGGACACAACCACCAGTGTGCGTTCAATGTTCATCCACCCGGCTTTTATCTACCAGTCACGTGCTGCTTTATACTCCCAATCTGTCATCTCTCGGCTTAGATCGTGTTCCACGTGTGTTTATTTCTAATAGAATCATCTTTGGGCTGTAAAGTGCTTTTCTACTAGGATGTGTATTTGGTGCTTTTTATAAACCAGTTCTAGGGAATTCCTGTAATGTTTCTTTTTATTCTCCACTTTGTAAATGTTTGCACTATAGATAAAACACGGACTTTGAATGTGACCGGTGGATTAAAATCTGAGCTTTGCCAACCTGTTGAGTTGTGTGTTGTTTTCCTTTTCTATTGTGTGTTGTATAATGAGGACCTGGAGGTAGGTATTACAATTTAGCTGCACTTACCTGCTGTGAGATTTGCCACTCATCTCTTTTTTTGTTGGTGAGGTATCCTAAGGCCCCATTCACACTGAGCGACATGAAAATCGCACGACTTTGAGCGAGTATTGAGCGACGTGTCGCGTGACTTCTTCCTATTGGGCTGTATGCAATCAGGAGCAATATCGCTCAAAATCGCTCTAAAAAAGGGTCATGTAGGAGCGACAAGCTACCAGCGATATTGAGCGACGAGATGTGAACAGCTCCATTGAAATGTATTGGTGGAGCTACATAGAGCGATATCGCGCGGAAATATGAGCGCGTTCGGCACAAAAATCTCGCGATTAATCGCTGGATGTGAACGGGGCCAAAATCTGGCCATACACCTATAGATTATCTGCAGGTTTTCTATGGTCAGATGGAAAAAGTGCAACAGATTCCTCCAACTACGCTAAACTGTGTGTATGGAGGAATCTCCCACTGAGCTAAGCTTCAGTATCTTGCTAGTCGGCCCCGCTGGCTGGCAAAATACCTGAACAATCTGATTGGATGCAGGCATTGTTCAGGTATTTTGATAGCCAGTGGGGCCGACTAGCAAGATACTGAAGCTTGGCTCAGCGGGAGATTCCTCCATCCACACGGTTTAGCATAGATGGAGGAATCTGTTGCACTTTTTCCATCTGACCATAGAAAACCTGCAGATAATCGCTAGGTGTATGGCCAGCTTAAAGGTGGTCATACACTTTACAACCCTCCCAAGACTTTAGTCTTGGGAGGGTTGTAAGTAATTGTACGTTTTTTTAATCTGCCCATCTTGGACAGGCAGTCATCAGAAGCCCACCCCACTGAGGGGCAGGCTTGTGATGACTGCAATGCTGATCGGGCAGTGTGCGCACACCGGCCCGTTCGGCAGTTGTCAAACAAGCACGCCACTAACCACCTCGGTGGGTTTTCCAGCCTGCTTGTTCGACAGAAGACGTGCGAAACGGTCGCACGCCTTCCATACACTTTGCGATTCTCGTACGATCGTGTGATTTCCTGCGATAATCGCAGTGTATGGGCACCTTTTTAAAAGGTCCCCACACACCTTACGATAATCGCGGGAAATCCTACGATCGTAAGGTGTGTGGAAGCCGTGCGACCCCTACTACTGTAAGGTCGCACGACTTTAAACTTACGGACATGTTCGAAAACCCGCCGAGCATCGTACGATGTTTGGCGGGTTTGTGGCATGTCCGTACGATAACAGCCGTACGGGCCGCTGTGCGCAAGCGCACACTGCCCGTTCGGCATTGCGGTCATCGGAAGCCCACCCCTCAGGGGGCGTGGCTTGCGATCATCGCAATCTGCCTATGCAAGATAGGCAGATCGTACGTTTTTTAAAGTACCTTACAACCATCGCAAGACAAAAGTCTTGCGATGGTTGTAAGGTGTGTGCCCAGCATAAGAAGTGCTCTCCATTGAAAAGAGAAACAGACACAGCTGCTTTGCTCATTAGAACACTGAGATCTGGTCAGCTGATTATAATGAACATTCAGGAATCCGTCTGAAGGAATAGATGTTGTTGGTTTCTCTCTGCAGAGAGAGAAACCAACAACATCTATTCCTTCAGAGAGAGAAACCAACAACATCTATTCCTTCAGAGAGAGAAACCAACAACATCTATTCCTTCAGAGAGAGAAACCAACAACATCTATTCCTTCAGAGAGAGAAACCAACAACATCTATTCCTTCAGAGAGAGAAACCAACAACATCTATTCCTTCAGAGAGAGAAACCAACAACATCTATTCCTTCAGAGAGAGAAACCAACAACATCTATTCCTTCAGAGAGAGAAACCAACAACATCTATTCCTTCAGAGAGAGACCAAAATCTATTTCTATAGAA